TAATTAGGAATTGACAGAGTTTTCCCAGGGATTGCTCCCAATATCTCACTAATTAATAATTAATAGGGCTTTCCCAGTGAATGTCCCCAATAACTCATTAATTACTAATTAATACTTAATAATTAATTATTGATTGATCCAGTGATTATCCCAAATAATTAAGTAATTAGGAATTAATAGGGCTTTCCCAGTGAATGTCCCTAATAACTTATTAATTACTAATTAACAATTAGTAATTAATTATTAATTAATTATTAATTAATTGATCCAGTAATTATCCCCAATATCTCAGTAATTAGGAATTAATAGGGCTTTTCCAGTGAATCACCTCAACAACTCAGTAATTATTAATTAATAGGGCTTTCCCAGTAACTGTCCCCAGTATCTCAGTAATTACTAATTAAGAGGGCTTTCCCACTGACTGTCCACAATAACTCAGTAATTAGAAATTAATAAGGCTTTCCTAATGATTGCCCCCAAGAACTCATTAATTAGGAATTAACAGGACTTTCCCACTGATTGACCCCAAAAACTCATTAATTAGTGATAGGACTTTCCTAGTCATTGTCCTCAGTAACTCAGTAATTAGGAATTAATAGGGCATTCCCATGGATTGCCAGAATAACTCATTAATTACTAATTAATAGGGCTTTCCCACTGATTGTCCCCAAAAACTCATTAATTATTAATTAATAGGGCTTTTCCAATGATTGCACCCAAAAAGTCATTAATTATTAATTAACAGGGTTTTCCCAATGATTGACCCCAAACCCTCATTAATTATTAATTAATAGGGCTTTCCCAATGATTGCCCCAAAAAACTCATTAATTATTGATTAATAAGGCTTTCCCACTGATTGTCCCCAATAACTCAGTAATTATTGATTAATGGGGCATTCCCAGTGATTGTTCCCTATCAGTACTAGCAATCAGTAATCAGTAATTAATAATTAGTAATTGATGGGGCATTCCCAGTGATTGTTCCCTATCAGTACTAGTAATTAGTAATTAATGGGGCATTCCCAGTGATTGTTCCCTATCAGTACTAAGTAATTAGTAATTAGTAACTAATAGGGCATTCCCAGTGATTGTTCCCTATCAGTACTAGTAATTAATAATTAGTAATTAGTAACTAATAGGGCATTCCCAGTGATTGTTCCCTGTCAGTATGGGGACCATGCCCCATATCCAGGACCCCCAAGGCATGAGGATCACAGTGCCCAGGGACAGCTCCAGGCCACAGAGGGTCCCTCATTCCCAATAAATGACTCATCAATTATTAATTAGCGGGGTTTGCCCAGCGATTCCCCCTGTGAGCACTGGGGGCCACCCCCCTCTCCAGGACCCCCTGGGAGAGGGATCACTGACCCAGGGCCACACGTGGGCCCTCAGGAGTTTGGCTTCCAGGCCACAGCCAGGCCCTCGGGATTTTCTGCTCCCCAGCAGCTCATTAACTGTTAATTAACACACTTCCCCAGCATGGGCAGGTGCCAGGGCCCTCCCTCACCTGAGCCTCATGTCATAGGATGCCAGGTCTCCCTTGTACTCCATGGGCGTGTGGATCTTCCCTGCAGGACACGGGGCAGGGTGAGGACATGGGGCAGGATGAGGACATGGGGCAGGATGAGGACATGGGGCAGGACAAGGACACGGAGGATGAGGACA